ATCAAAGATGGAGTTGAAGTGCTCGGATACATACCTCCAACGGACAGCCGACTAGACTCTCGCTTCGCCCAGCCAGCTGCACGCCCGACGAATCCCAACAAGGCGTGACGTCAACCGCCCTCAGCGAGGAGTGTTCCTATACGTCACTGGAACTCGGACCAGTCTTCGTGCTCACCAACGCACCAAGAGGGTGGATGAAAACGCTCTGCCACCACCCTTACACGATCGCGTACCCAGGTTTGACCAACCACAATGGAAGAGAGACGCCGCAGATAGAAATTCCGACGCGCTCCGCGGCTACATCAACAAAAACAACACCTGACCCGACATCGGGGACGTGAGCCGTCACTACTCAGATCTGTTGACCAAAACGCACGCGGGCGGGTCCACGCGCAAGGCAGATTGAATGGCGCAAATCGCCGCGCAAATCGCCGCCAAGCCGTGACGACGGGCAAAAGAGCTTGCCGAGAACGTTTTCATACGCGTCGTCCCAGCACAGGCGAGGCATAACGGCGCCGAGTTCAATGACCTCGAGCATATCCACGAGATCCCCAACGTGTAGGTCTACAAGCGTGCAGACCTACAAGAAGCAGAACGGAAGGCGATCCCCTCGACGTCATACGGATGCGCTTCCTTCCTCCGACACTGCACAAGCGCGAGCCGCAACCTGCAAGAATCGGGCGAAGCACTACCGATCCGCTACCCCACAGATATCTTGACCACCACGGGGGCAAGGGTTATGTTGCCCCCATCCTACTGAAGGACCGCATCCCAGGACAAATTTCGAGCACCCAGGACAATGTCGAAACAGTGTCGAAAGAGTATCGCCTCCCAGGGCTGGACACGAAAAAAACCCTTCAGTTTCGGTACTTTCTTGGTGCTCGAAATTCTCTTCTGGCTCTCAAAGCTAAAGCAGGTTGGAACCTCATAAGGCAAGGGCGATACACCCTCACAGCGGCAACATCATTCCGAGCAGAAGAAATAACACCTCACACCGCAGACGCGGGCAGGCCTCTATGCAGCCGAAGGATGACCCAACGGTGACCTCGTACCCCTGGTCGAAGTGGGCGACAAGGAGCTCCGCCACCAGCAGAATTACAAGGCGGAGTACAGGGCCCTATCAACCACTACAGCAAGATCGAAGTGCGATACTAATTCCAGCTGGGAGCGCCGACCATCGGTATTCCTCAGCGGCCACGGATCGCCAGCACGACATGGCACGCACCAGCAGACGCCACATACGAAGAAGGCATCGAGGCCCAACATGCCATGCCTAACATGCTGCCACCATACGAGGCCATCACAGCGACGCGACCACCACCTCCAAAACCCACTAACTGGAAGGATCCGAACAACGTCCTCGTCTTCGGCTGCATGGACACCGCGATGGAAAACATACAACCTCATGCCACATATCAGAAACGTCATCCGCGAGGAAGACAACGAGCTCATCACCAGGATGCCACAACGACGACTACAAGACGCTGAAGGAACGATCAATGCTCGCTACATGAGAGCCCGCGAACGCCACCGGCCCGCGTGCCCCATGCGCAGCTCGCACAAAAAAGAAGGGTCACGGCTACCACCGGACACGGCAAAGAACCCGAACAACGTAAACCGAGTCTTGACCACCAACCCTACCTCTGGCCCCCAGCTCCGAAGAGAGCCACCGCCACCAAACGTCCCGCCGCCGCCAGTCGACCTGCCAAACTACCACACGTGGACCGAGCAGGAACTGGTATTTGCACTGGAACATCTCGACCTTCCACCCGGCATGCCGCTCAACAACCGAGAACAGCTGCGAACGCCTCGGCCACGGGGTGTCTAGAAAATCAAGGTCACAATCAACTGGACCAACCGTGTGAACTACTACTACTACTACTACTACTACTATCACTACTACTACTACTACTACTACTACTACTACTACTACTACTACTACTACTACTACTAGTACTACTACTACTACTACTACGACGACGACGACGACGACGACGACTACTACTACTAATAATAATACTAATACTAATACTACGACTACTACGACTACTACTACTACTGCTACTACTACTAGTATTACTACTACGATTACTACTACTATTTCTACTACTACTACGACGACGACGACGACTAGTAGTACTACTACTACTGCTACTACTACTACTACTACTACTACTACTACTACTACTACTACTACTACTACTACTACTACTACGACTACGACTACTACGACTACTACCACCACTACTACTACTACTACTACTACTACTACTACTACTACTACTACGACTACTACGACTACTACGACTACTACTACTACTACTACTACTACTACTACTACGACTACTACGACTACTACTACGACTACTGCGACTCCTACGACTACTACTACGATTACTATGACTACTACTACTACTACTGCTACTACTACTACTACTACTACTACTACTACGACGGCTACGACTACGACTACGACTACGACTACTACTACTACTAAAAC